GTTGATTGGGGAACTTGGCGAAGCTATGCCAAAGGGTGAGATGGAGAGAAGAAAAGAAAATACCGACTTTATATAGCAGAAGGAGAGAGCGATGACAGCGCTGTGACGAGTCTCTTGCGATGAAATTTAGCCTGCGACGACCAACTTTGCACTTGATAATTGTAACGACCAACATTCGCCACGGTCGCCTGTCTCAATGGAAAGGCCTCTCGTTTGATTGGCTAAAATGCGGTCGTAAATTGCTTTCGCAAAAACCGAACGGCCGCCGGCAATCAACCGGTTAGCGATTCCTCAAGCTCGGGACCAGAAATGCCATGAATAGGTTAGCTGTGCTTGCTGCAAGACCTACCGAGCTGCTGCCTTCATCAGGCTATCGATAATGCTAGTCATTCAGCAAGACGGGGCGAAGCTAACTTCCCAAGCGACCCCCTACTGTACTGTTATTCAAAGGCAGCGTTAAAGTTAGTAGAACTTGACTAATGGAATGTACTAATATTGGCGCATCGAGAGTTTATGAGCTGAGTGTCGTTGGCGAGTACATGGAACCAAGGGCAATCCATCCTCGAAGGTTGAAGGCAGATCCTGGCCGCGCGATCCTCCGGATAATCGCCGATAGAAATTGGCGGGAGCTCGTATCCGGCGGCTTTGGGAGTTCCACAAACGGGAAAAAGCATGGCCAATACACCCCCGGACACGCCGCCGTCGAGCCCCGTGGCCGCGCCTGCCGCCTACGACGGCGTCGCGACGCCGCCATCGAGCCCTCTGGTCGCACCGAGACCTCCCATGGGCGCGACCCCGCCGTCCAGCCCGGTACCGAGACCTACGCGGAGCGTCGTCGCCACCCCGCCATCGAGCCCCGTGGCTGCGCCGCGACCTGCCGCTGTCGATACGCCGCCATCGAGCCCCGTTGCCGCGCAACGGCCTCTCATCGGCTCGGTGGATACGCCGCCATCAAGTCCCGTGGCGGCGCGCCCGCGCGTCCGGGCAGTCGACACACCGCCGTCGAGCCCCATGTCGCCGCTCGTCGACTCGCAGCAAGACTACGCCTCGCGCTTTCCGCCAGCGCGACAACCGCCGATGACACCGCCGTCACCGTCATCTTTTTCGCAGCCGTCGGTCTCGGTCTCGGCTACCGCCGAGTTTCGCCACCAGTACCACTCGGGCGACTTTAGTGCGTCCGTCGACGCGACACCAATGCCACGATACCTTGGACGGTACGCGGACGGCGACATTAGCACGAGCCTCTCGGCGCGCCACTTGCCTCGCGGCGACCTCGGGCGGTCGGAATTTCGCATCCAGGAGCTGCCAGGTGCGGTGCGCGCCGCCGGTGCACCCTCGTCGCCAGGCGGTCCCGGCGATAGCCCACCATCTTCACCCATCTCGGTCGATCCATCCAACCGCCATGGGCTTCCTCAGGCGCCGTTATCGCCGAGCTCAGCCAGCGCCAGCGTGCAGCATGCCGGGCCTGCAGCCGCGGTTCCGCTCGCCGAGCAAACGTACTCGAATGCGGTCGTGTGGGGCACAAATGTGAGTGTCGCCGAGTCCATGGGCGTCTTCCGGGCGTTCTTGCACGAGTTCAACCCGCCGGGGCACGCCGACCTCGGCGGCGAGAGCTACTACATGAAGGTGCTTCACCAGATCCAGCTCACGCAGCAAGGCGTCTTCAACCTCGACGGCAACCACCTTCTCGAGTGCAGCGCCGCGACGCGCAAGCTGTACATGCAGCTCGTGCACTTTCCGCAAGTGCTGATCCGCATTTTGGACATGGTCATTGTCGACGAGTTCAAACTTCTGTACCCGGACGACGTCGACCTCGTACGTGTTGAGACATTGTTTGAGATGTTGAGATTGAGATTTTAGATTCGCATTCAAGTGCGGCCGTTCAACCTCAAGGACAAGCAAGCGATGCGGAATCTCAATCCTGCCGACATTGACCAGCTCGTGAGCCTCAAAGGCATGGTCACGCGCTGCTCGTCCGTGATCCCAGACCTCAAAATGGCGTTCTTCCGCTGTACCATGTGTCACTCGACCGTCGAAGTCGAGCTGGACCGCGGTCGCATCGACGAGCCAACGGTACGCGGCGCCTTCAACCCTACACTAGTACAACTTGTCGTATCTAGTTGTGCGATCATTGCCACACGCGCGGGTCGATGGAGATCATGCACAATCGGTGCGCGTTTACCGACAAGCAGCTCGTACATCTTGCATGGACCTCAAACATCGGTTCCATCCTGCAAATTAGGTGAAAATGCAAGAGACGCCGGACGCGATTCCTGAAGGCGAGACCCCGTACACGGTACGTACGCGCGTACGCCTCCACCATACACATGGGAATGCGTAGGTGATGCTGTTTGCGTTTGACGACCTGGTCGACGACGTCCGACCGGGCGACAAGATTGAGGTCACGGGTATCTACCGCGCCGTGCCGATGCGAGCGACCATCAAGCAGCGTGTCGTCAAGTCGGTCTTCAAGACGTACATTGACGTGGTGCATTTTCGCCGGACGGACGAGCTCATGGGCGCGTCCGGCGGCCTCGACGACGGCAACGCAGTCGACGCCGTCCAACAAGCCAAGATCGACGAGTACCACCGGATCGCGTCCGACCCGCTCGTATACGAGAACCTCGCGCACTCGCTCGCGCCGTCGATCTGGGAGCTCGACGACGTCAAGAAGGGCGTGCTCTGCCAGCTTTTCGGGGGCACGCGCAAGGCGGCGGCAGTGATTGGCAAGAAGCACACGCGGTCGGACCTCAACGTCCTGCTCTGCGGCGACCCGGGGACGTCCAAGTCGCAGCTATTGTCATACGTACACAAGCTCGCCCCCCGCGGCATCTACACGAGCGGCAAAGGCAGTTCGGCCGTGGGCTTGACGGCGTCAGTGATTCGAGACATGGAGACGGGGGATCTGGTACAAGAATATCGGGCATAGACTCTGAGATCTGAGATTTGATTTCCAGGTGCTCGAATCTGGCGCGCTCGTCTTGTCGGACGAAGGCATTTGCTGCATTGATGAGTTTGACAAGATGTCGGACAACGCGCGCAGCGTCTTGCACGAGGTCATGGAGCAGCAGACCGTGTCGATCGCCAAGGCCGGCATCATTTGCTCGCTGAACGCGCGCTCGTCGATCTTGGCGTCGGCCAACCCGATCGAGTCGCGCTACAACCCCAACAAGAGCGTGATTGAAAACATCAACATTCTCCCGACCTTGCTCTCTCGGTATAGTGCTATTCGTCCCTTGGATTCGATCCATACTGGTACTGTGGCTAGCTTTGACTTGATTTACTTGATTCTGGACCGACCGAATGCCGAGGCCGACCGGCAGCTCGCACGCCACATCGTCTCGCTCTACTACGACTCGTACTCGATCCATACAGCGCGCGGCCACATGAAGGCGTCCGAAGTCATCTCCATGTCGGTCCTCTCCGACTACATTGCGTATGCAAAAGACCATGTGCGACCCGAATTGAGTCAAGCAGCGGCGAAGGACCTTGTCGCGGCCTACCTGGAGCTCCGGCGCATGGGGAGCAACCGCAAGAACATCACGGCGACGCCGCGCCAGCTCGAGTCGCTCATCCGCATTGCCGAGGCTCTCGCCAAGATGCGCCTCGCCGAGACCGTCACGTCGCGCGATGTGTCAGAGGCGCTGCGCCTCATGAACGTGGCGACGCAAAAGGCGGCGATGGACCCGCGCACGGGCACGATCGACATGGACATGATCACGACGGGGTATGCGACGGTCGACCGCGAGGCGCTGAGTGCGCTTGTCGACGACGTCAAGCGGCTCTTGACCGAGCACGGCGGCGGCTCGATCAACACCGGGGAGCTCAAGAAGCAGCTCGACAGTCTCCGCGGGTCGGAGACCAAGCACACGGAGTTCCAGACGGCGCTGCGAACGCTCGAAGAAGAAAACCTCGTGCAAGTGTCGCATGGCTCGGTGCGGTACTTTGGCGCGCGCGATTAATACGGCGCGCTTCTGGCCGTCATAACTATATACCTGTATCTATGTTATGTATGTTATGGTGTTACGACGACAAGGTGTCCATTTTTGTCGCGGGTAGGGGAAGAATCCATGGAGGTGGTTTACGGAGCCTTTCATGCGCAGAGGGTTGTGACGACCGCATCGTCACCAAAGCCCCACACGTCCAGGACCACGAGCATCTTCACACGAGCCATAAGAGTATTATTCGAATGGGACGAATAGCGGTCAGACTACCTTGTCAAGAGGAGATGGGTATAGCGCGTCGAGCTCGGGTCGAGACAAGAGCTCGATCCCGAGCGTGAGTGTGAGTTCGAGGAAGCCTTCAAATCCGAGCCCGGAGTCCGCCTAATTAGGACTTGAGCTTGCGGTGTAGCTTCGTGTCGCTGTTTGCCGGGGAGCGGTCGCGCTGGATCGCGTCGCGCAGCGCGAGCAAGGACGACGCCGAGACGAACGCCGGTACGAGGTGCATGGCTCCCATGAGCTCCACGAGCTACAACACGCATAGGACATGGTCTGCAGCGCGCAGCGGCACCTTGGTGTTGTCGAGTCGCCGGGGTGACGCGGTGCTGCCTGTATCAACGTATCAAAGTATCAAATTATCAATGTATCATGAGGCGCTGGACGTACAAAATGCGTGAAACAGCTTGCGCAGCACGGGGGCGCGGCTGCACAGGAGCGCGTTGAACGCAGGATCTACGACTCCACTCAGTTCTTGGCGGCAGCGAGCGTTGGCACCGGTGTTGAAGGCCGTGGAGATCTCCTCCGGCAACGACTTGGGCGAGTGACGGCGCGTCATCCGCCGCACCGCAAGCAGTACGAGCACGGTCGTAAACAGAGTGAAGCGCGGACGCGTTGCTTGGACGATTCGGGCTGCGTGCTTGAGCACGCCAATCGCGGCTCTCTCCAGTTGCTGGTGGTCGTGACCTACACCACGGGCGTAGAAGCACCGAACTCAAGTTCGCGCAGTTGTATACCTGTGACCGCGACGGTGTGTTTTAGTTCGTAAAAGATAGTATGGGCCATCGCAGCGCTCAGTAGATCAATGGACGCCCCGTCCCCTTGGGCCTACACTTCATCGCTGAGGTAGCCATGAGGAGAGACTCAATGTACCTGCGTCAACGCGAGGAGGAGGAGACGAACAACATGGCGGGTGCTGCTCGAGAGGCCGCGCAGCGCAGCGATAAAGGCCGTGACGGCGCGCTCGTTCTTCTCGTCGTCCTCGCTGAGTGATGTCTCGTCCTTGGCATGTAGCTCGAATGCCTCCAACGGCACGAGTGCCTCGAGCGGTTGGACGACCTACGATTTGCACTGCAGGCGCTATGGAAGATGTCGGCATCGCACGTGCTTGACGGCGGCGGCGACTTCGTGCGGCGCATACGTGGCATACCCCGCCGCGTTTGCCTCGGCCAAGAGCGAGGCGATGCGCGCTCCGTCCGAGAGGCTGAGGAAGAGGTCCCGCTTCGAGTCGGACGCATGCACAATATGCCACAACAGTTGCGACACATGGCGAAGCGAGAGAGGCGACCAAGCCAGTCGCCCCGAGCTCGACCGTCGGCGTACTGCGCTCACCGGAGCACTCGAGAGGCGTGGCACCACAGGGACCATCTCATCGTGTAGCAAGGACTACACCGCATGAAACCGTCACGTCCTGTGGTCGTGCCACGTCATAGATCGCACCTTGGCACGCGGAAACGACAGCGCTTTGTAGTACGAGAGGAGCTTTCTCGCCATGAGCTTGCGGTCGTCCATGGACGCTGCGCATTGGTGCGTGACACACCGTCGTGATGCAATGACAACGTACGACTCAAGTCGCTTGGAGCTTCGCTCGGACGCACGAGGTGCACGCCAAGATGCGTGAGCAGTGGCTCTTCGGCCAAGAGGAGCTGCGTCGACACCTACATCCGATACATCTCGTCGATATTGACGAATGCGATTGAAGCGGTACCTTGTGCAAGAGATCGAGAAGAGCGTGCAGGACCTGCGTGTGCTCCAACGGCATTTTATCGAGCTCGGCTTGCACAGTTTTCAAAAACGTGGCGTTGGACGTCGACGCGTCGGGGGCGAAGAGAGCTCGGACCATCGACGGGTACGCCTCGTACGGCACGAGCGGCGCGTGCTCCATCTCGAGCTTCTAAACGACCGCAACTCAAGTCTCTGGTGGTAGAGAGTCTCCAACCTGGCGGACAACGCACGAGATGGACCTCGACGACAGCTTCTTGAGCAGTTTGTTGGAGGGCGGCAGCTGCTCCTCGAACGCGCGCAGCAGCAGTTTGCGCTCCGAGGCCTTCCCTTCGTGCGCAAATAGCTTTTCCTTGTGCGCCTTGAAAAGCGTCAGATGCTCGATGAGCGCCAGGAGCACGCGGCAGTCGGCGGGTCGCAGCGATGGCAGTGGACCACTCGCCGATGCTAGGCAGCCATTTTAGTTCTTTAGTCGGTGTTTGCACGACGTACGCCCAGCGACGGCCTTGGCGAGGGCGTGCGCGGCCACGGGTGGCGCGGTTTTGCGCTTGAACATGTTTTTAAATTTTGAAACGGGCGCCGCCGCCAATCGAGTCGAAACCGCGGGCGTCGACTAGACTAAACGATTACTAGTACGACATGAACATTAAACTACGATCCTGGAAACGACTAATCAACTAACTACACACAACGACTAAATGACTACAACGCGACTAAACGACTACAAAACGACTAAACGACGAAACACAAACCTGACGATGTTGCGATCAGCTTTTGGGATGCACGGCGTGCAAGAAGTCCACGAGTGCATGTAGGCATGTGTAATGCCTACGGTATGTGGCCGCAAAACTGAGCCACGTTCGCCCTTCGTGAAGCCGTCTTAGTTAGTCGATTTAGTGGCAGCCGTAATTTCAGGGCAGGTCTGGCGTTATGATACGTTTCAGTCCAGCACCGGAACGAGATCATCCTTCTTCAGAGTCAATATGACCAGCGTCTTCGACGATGTCCTCTTGCTCGAGCGCCACGACGACGGCCCGCGCGTCGTGTGGCGCTACCTCTCGGACCCGGCGTGCGTCAGCGGCAACAACAACTTTAGCCTGCCCTATGGCCTCCCGCCCATCTGCGTCCCCGGCGCGGCCAAAGGCCAGCGGCGGTACGACGTCCGACTGCCGTCTTCTTCGTCTTCCACAATAATGACATTTGTCGTAGCGGCGCCGAGTTTACGTTTACGATCTCGGACGGGCGGTCGCGCCAGCTCTACGGCCTCGTCAAGCAGGTCGCGCTCAAGCCCGAGACGCCGGCGCTCGTCGCATGCATCCTTGGCCCCAAGTACGTAGTGCTTGCTGCTGCTCGCCGTCTTACCGTGCGGTAGGCCGCTCTATGTATGGCTCGCGTGGATCTTGCGGCTCGTGCACGCGCGGCTCCTCCACGATCCGACCAAGCGCACGACCATGAGCCTCCTCAACGCCATACGTAGCGCGCACCACGACGGCCCGCTCGTCTTTGCCGACAGCTTTGTCGGCGATCTCAAGACGTATACGTTTCCGCTGCACCCGCCCGGCGCGTTTGGCGCGCGCGCGCTCGAGCCCCATATCGTACGCTCTCTGCGCGCACGCGCCGTGCCAATGCTGCTTCGTAGCTCAACTACCGCGCGTTCACGACCAAGCTGCAGACGCCCAGCGCGCTCCTCGTGCTGCTGAGCGCCCTCCTCCTCGAACAGCGCGTGCTCCTCGTCCACGACGAACACGACCTTCTCACGGGTCTCTGCCACCTCCTCCTTCGCCTTCTCTCGCCGCTCGTCTGGAAGGTTCGTCGCGGCGATATTGCTCTCGCCTATCGCCATTTGCGGTAGCACATGCTCATTCCTGTCTTGCCGATCGAGTTGCTGCATTATGCCAGCGCGCCGATTCCCTACCTTCTTGGGATGACGACTTCCGTGTACAAAGCCGCCAAGCTCTCGAACGTGCTGGTATTCCACTTGGACGCGGGCAACGTCGAGTTTCGCGACCTCCTCGGGGCCTTCCCCACGCTCTGCGACGAGTTCCCCTCCGCACCGACTAGCGGGACCGTGCCCTTTGAGCGCCTCGGGACACCGATCTACCGTGCGTTTTCCGCACTTGATAAATTGATACAAACGTAGCATTTGTGAAATGTAGGTGACTCGACCAGCGCGCTCTCGGCTTTTCGCCGGGACCTCCTCCATGCCTTTGAAGCCGAGCCAGGTACGATGTCGCCGCTTCGAACCCGCCTCCCGCCGCCTTTTTTCATTAGTTGATTCCATTTAGAGACGCTCGAAACGTGTGTGAATGCGCTCCTGTACCACCTCTTTGCCGACGCCTCGTCGTTTCTTCGATCGTCGGCCAAGCAAGGCGGTGCGTATGTGGACCTACCGGGGTACCTCGCGGCGCGGCGCCCCCTCGACACGCCGCTACTGGTCCGTCCCTCTCACAATGCAACACCAACATCACTGTCGCCTAGCACCGGTTTGTGACGGCAGTGGCAGCAACGCCCATGCTACAAGCGTACTGCAGCGACCGTCTCGCAGGGCTTCGTACCCGGGATACCTACCACGGCCCGCTGTACGTGTGTATCCAGGGCAAAGACTTTCACTACGCCCAGCTGCGCCGCAACCTCCAACGCCGGTCGGTGTGATGACGGGTCATAAACCGAGGGGTGATCGGCGTGCGTAGAAGCACGCAATCGCAAGAGTACCCGCAAGTGACGCAGCTGGTTGCAGGGATGTGGACGCAGTCGGACCGCTTCCACGTGTCGCTCGCCGACGTTCGGCCGCTCCTCGACGCAACGTACCACATGTACAAGCACCATTGACTCGACTCGGTATTTAGTTTGTATTACCTAGGGACCACTGCGGCATTGTCATCGACATGCTCTGGGAACGACTTGGCGATGCAAACGACAGCACGGTGGCAACGGTATTGAACCTCCATTCATCTGTCCGTGCTCCATCCACTGGATTAGGCACTGCAAATTCTCGTGTACCTGATGCTGGATGGCTGTGAGATTGTGACCGAGTACCTTCGCTTGAAGGAGTGCCAGCGCAACCACTGCCGCATCCTCAAGCGCCATGGCTTTCGTGGTCCGTCGAACCCTAGCCCTATGACAATGGCAAACGACTATGGTGTAGGCATCGTCCACGGCGCAACGCAGCTCCTGGACTTTATGAGTGGCCCGGAGCGTCTCTATACGATCCGCACGAGCAACTCAACGACGCAATGGCTCTCGAGAGTGACGTTCCCGCGCCTCGAGCTCAAGCAGCGGTATGCGCTGCCGGCGTTCGGGGATCTGCACCACAGCGTCGGCCGCTTTTACCAGCCAGTGCACTCGGTGGACCTCCTCAACCTCCACTTGGACGAGAGAAAAGCCGTCGCGTGCCCCCACGACCCGTTTGATACGACTGCGACGTATCCCCAGCACTGGCGCTAACTTGAGGTGATCTATGTGATGGGCCCTGTCTAAACCCACGCCATTTTGCACCATTTTGCCAGGATGGAGCGTGCACGACGGCAGTGAAAACGCTGCGGTACGGTGGGCAATCATATCGACATGCAACGAGATGGCGTGCACTATTTGTATGGACGTCGCAGGGACGGGGCAAAGCTCGGGGCAAGTGATACCTAGACTTGAAAGCCGGCAGTGTTGGGTGCGATTAGCCGTCTGATATTATCCGGATACCTCGCCGCCTTGGGACAAATCCACAATCCGAACACAAGGATGGAGCGGGACTTGGCCGGCGCCGGGACGCCCGAGGACGTGCTCGATGTGCTTTGCGCTATGGACGTCGCCTCGCTCACGCGGGACGAGCTGCCGACGGCGCTCGCGACCGTCGAGGCCCATGCGGCGCGGTACCCGTACTTGTATGCGACGGCGGCGCACCAGGAGATCTTGGCGCAGCTTCGGTCGATGGCGGCGGCGCAGGATCGCCACGCGCGGACCAGCCGCGCCCGCGAGAGCGAGACGTCAACAAGCGCCTTTGTTCGGCTGTCATCGCTGCCGGGGCGGTCGGCGTCGCAGCGGTCGTCGTCGCGCCTGCTTCAGCGCGTGTCGTCGTCCATGTCGGCGTCGAGCTCGCTCATCCTCGGCAACACCAACAACAACTCGATCAACACGAGCATGAGTGGCCGCGGCGTCGGCGACGAGCGCAACTCGCTGAGTTTTCTGCGGTCGATGAGCACCATGCTTGGGCTCGGCATGGCAGAGACGAGCTACTGCCAGATCTGCCTCGAGTACGTCGACATCGCCTCAACAGTCGCGCTCTCGGTGTGCGGGCATCGCTTCTGCGCCGACTGCATCCACGGGTACCTCGCCAACAAGATCGCGGACGGGCTCATTGCGCCCAAGTGCTTCTTCGCCGACAGCGACGGCCATCCGTGCGAAGCGGTCATTCCGCCGAGCGACGTCCAGGCGCTCGTGTCGACAGAGGTATTTGAAAAGTACGAGAAGTTTAAGTTCATCAAGGCCCACGCCGACGCGCGCGAGTGCCCGCACTGCCATTTGCTGCAGGTCGGGAATGGCCCGGACGACCCGCATATGGACTGCATGCAGTGCGGCGAGTCGTTTTGTTATACCCACTCGAACGCGCATCCGAACTCGACGTGCCTCGCGTACGAGGCCAAGATGCGCGCCGAAGACAAGGTGAACCAGGCCAAGATCAGCCAAATCTCCAAGCCGTGCCCAGGCTGCAAGAGTCCCGTCGAAAAAAACGGTATTTTGCCGACTTTTTCATGTTTTTACACTAAACTTTCGTGTAGGCGGCTGCAACCAAATGAAGTGCGTCACGTGCGGTGTGCACTTTTGCTGGCTTTGTGGCGAAAAGGTCGACGACGGCGTCTTTCCCGAACATTTTCAGGTACATTTTCCCCTCCAAAATCTGGTTGATACGATATTGATACTATTTCGACCACTAGTGGTGGAACTTGCGGGGCTGCGCGGGTGCCCAAATGTCCGAGACCGCGGTCGAAGGCCCGAGCACGGTCTCCAAAATGCTCTCATTTTCGTGGCGCATCTTGCTCTGCCTCCTCTTTGGTCCCCCGGCGCTCGCTCTCACGCTGGCCTTCAGCATTCTCAGCTGCTGCTGCATTCCGTGCTGTCTGCGCGGCAGAGCTTTTGCCCGGTCGGCGTTTGCGAGCTGCTTTTGCGTCTCGGGGTATGCGCTCATGTCGCCCTTCGTCCTCGCAGCGTGTTTACCACTGCTCCCCGTCGGGCTCTGTGTCTGGTGCTTTTGTCCGTCCGCGTGTCATGACAGTGACGACAATGCGATGACCGGACAGGCGATGACGTCCGGCGAAGACCAGACGCTCGTGGCCATGCCGGACGAAGAGAACGAGTCGGATGGCGTCGCACGGTACGGGTCCCATGGCTCCCCCGACGAGCAACCCCGGGCCATCTTGGTTGGCCCCGCCGCTGCAGTCTAGCTCGACGCAACATGTATATTGTGTGTACTCGTGTGTTGGAGGCATTAGTCGTTAGTGTGGACGATCGATAGAGCAGAGGTCAGTACATTAGTCGTTGTGACAACCTGTGCATCCAACAGGAGGTGTGGTTGAAGACACGTTGAAGCTGGCCCCGAAAGGCCGCGAATCTTATTTAGGATACTAAGATCTTATTTAGGAATATGAAGTCTTATTTCAGGCTTTCAGGACATTCCGGCGTTATCAACCAGGCCACAGTGCCGTTTGAGCTCAAAAGCCGTCGCTTTGAGAATCAAGGAGCCAATCAGAATCCAGACGAGCCTGCCATGACCGACTACGTGGTCGTGACCCCGGCGCCGCTGAGCGTCGACGACGCTGTCCGGCATGTCGAGCATGCGAGCGCGGGTGCGATCTCGACCTTCATTGGCACGACCCGCGACTCGTTCAATGGTACGTGGCTTGCGCGCCGTCGTCGGCTTACGCTGCCATAGGCAAGGTCGTCGAGTACCTCGAGTACGAAGGGTATGTGCCGATGGCCGAGAAAGAGCTCTTGGCGATTTGCGCGTCGATCCGGCGGCAGTGGCCTGGCGTCGTGGGCGTCGCGATGATGCATCGGTTGGGCGTCGTGGCGGTCGGCGAGGCGAGCGTGGTCCTTGCTGTCTCGTCGCCGCACCGCCGCGAGGCGCTCGAGGCGGTGGCCTACGCGATCGACACGCTCAAGGCCCGCGTGCCGATCTGGAAGCTGGAAAAGTACGCTGGCGATTCGCGCATGTGGAAGGAAAACCCCGAGTGGCGAACCATGACTCCCATCGAGTAGCGAAGCACCTCGTCATTACCACAGGATATGTGCAAACTGCCTTAAAGACGATGCAATACCAGTGCTAGTAGTAGTTGGTCGAGAGATAGAGCATGAGGGATGTAGTCTTCTCTTGTCTCCACCGGGTAGAGCCAAAAGTCGTGTCGTCGACACGTGGAGTTGCAGTCGACGACTATACCCGGTGCCGTATACATGAATCTGAGCAATAACGTTAGGACGTAAAAAACACGACGTGGTCGATCGAACCAGGGATCGATCCTACGCCCAGTTGTAGGGAGGCCGGCGGTGTACGTACCGCAAGGTACGACGCTCGCAAGTTGTGGGTCGATTCTCTGAACTCTTGACGGCACGGCAGCTTGGTTCGTTGCGCAAAGGCACGTGTTTCGAGTGGTGTTAGCATAGGAAAAAGGAAGTTTCGATCGCTCGGCACCTAGCTTCGATTGCTCGCACCCAGCTTCGATCGCTGGCTTGCCGAGGCTTTTGCGGCTGACGATCAAGACGGCCAAGAACACATGCACCGCGCAAGCTTTTGCATGAGATAGTGCCCAGACCACCACAGTGCCACAGTGCTGGGCGAAGCAGTGCGTCGTCGTTCGCCCAAGTCTGGTCGACGCTGCGACGATCCCAGCTGCTGGATTCGTCAAATGGGCTAGTCCAAGCCACATTTGTGTACGCCTCGTTTTAGTAGAAAGAAGAAGAGAGGGGTGACCGCGTACCCAGCTATGGTAGTATCCTGGAGAAAAGCCGGTTCATCGCATTTCGTAGCGCCACGTCATCACTCCGATGTTTGCATCTGCATCCTTGCGTAAGTGTACTACACATCTCCTTTGCTGTCTCGTGGCGCGAGCTAGTGTTTATGCTGAGAAGACACTCTCATGACGTCTAGTCGGCGTCAACCTCGTCGAGATCATTTATACTACTCTACCACTACAACTCTAGTCGGACGCTTCCTGGGTAGGACTCGCTGCTTCGGCGGCCGTGTATGTGGCGTGCATCAAGCAAATGACCTCATCACTCGCGCTTTTGAGTACATCGAGCGACAGTCTCGGGCCGTGCGCCGCCACGAGTGCATCCACGAGGGCCTCTTCGTTGGGGAAGATGCGGCGCTCGTTCAAGTGCTTGGTCGACGGCGTCGACGCAGCGAGCACTCGAGCCCGCGTCACCTTGCGGTACGCATGCCACGCGTCACCTTGCGGTACGCATGCCACGCGTACTGTACGTGCTCGTGGACGAGGCGGCCCGCGTCCAGGTGGCGCGCGCTGCGAAAGCGGTAGGCGCACGTGCCGTGCATGCGCCGGGCGAGCGGGCACATTTCGTCGTTGCTTTTGCCTTCGGTGCTATTGGTAGTACCAGGCTCGACGCAGAGAAACCACTTGAGCGCGCTGTTCTGATGCGGAAAGTCGGCGACAAATGTTGCGCGCTTCTGCGTTGCTCTGGCCGCTCGCACCATCTCACGCGCATGCGCCTCGTCCAGCGGGTACACTTGAAACACCGCCGTGCCATGCGGGTGGAGGACGCGGGAAAGCTCCTGGAAGAAGCGCTGCAGTTGCTTCTCCGAGAGCCACTGCAGCATCGAGATGCTAATCGCGTGATCAAACATCCTGTCTCGGAACGGCAGGTCCATGGCGGCGCCGCAGACAAAGGACGAAGCCGTGCTACGCGTCGCGATCTGCAACATCGAGAGACTCATGTCAATGCCGACGGCGTGCGCCGGCAAGTGGGCGGTCGAGAGGCCGGACCCGCAACCAATGTCGATGAGGCTGGCCGTGGCTGCGTCGCGCGGCAGTAAAGACAGTGCAAGGC